TATAAAACTAAAGCAACACTAATAACAGAGCCAAATTATTTTCTCCTCCACTAATGAAGAAGCATGGAAAAGATGGGAAATAGACCTAAGTTTAGTGAAATTTGGGATCAGGGAGAGTGAACAAACTGGTAATCGTCGCTTTTCTAGTCCATGCACAATATTTTTTATAACTAGTATTCCTAGCTAGCACATGGGTCAGGGGTTCAAATTCACCAGACATTCCATGGAAGAAAAATAGAATAGTCTGCTTCCATAGAGATTTAGAGCCTCGGGAATCCTAGAGCAGTTATGCTCTGTGAGTCAGAATTGACGCTGTAGCAATAGATTTGGTCTGTTTTTAGGGTTTTTTGTTTGTTTGTTTTTTTAATTCCTAGCTAGCAGAGGTACGAGTGTTAACAGCCCTGTCACTGTGAAGATTTGGGCAGCGTGTTTCCTGAAATTCATTCCTGCCATTAAAAATGCAAATCATCACTGGTCTTTTTTCCTTGGATGGTACATAATTCTACTCTCTCTGCTGTGATTTCCATTCTTACTCCAAATATCGTTTGCATGTATTTGAAAGCTCCTACATTTGTTATTCAAATTAAACATATGTTGTGAGTGAACTAGGGAATTTGGTAAGCATTTGATTTGAAATTTTCAGTTGACCTCCCTAGCCCTTTTACATTAACCGACATGAAACAGATTATGCAGCACATACCCTCTGTGAGCTCTTTCCCTCAGAATAAGAAAATCATTTTCACAAAATAGCTAGACATTAAATAGCAGTCGCCTAAATGATGAAGTGCAATCGAATCACAGAAATTTCAGAGGAAGGATCAACCTCTAGAATTAGCTGGCCTAGTGCCATGCAGTTACCACCACTGTCGCCACCACCCCCCCTCTAATCCCTGAGAGGAGGAACCCTCCTTGCTTTTTATCTCTACGATCCATGCAGTATTCTCACTTCTGCGATCCCTTGTATTTCGGTGTTAACTCATATTCTTATGACTCAAAACCTTTTTCTTGAAGAAAGAAAAGGTCTCTGCTTGCGTTTCAGAGCATTATCTACAAACCAAAAGCCAAGAATGCCTTGGAACCATGAACCTCTGCCAGCAGCTCATTCTTGGATGGGGTCAGGACAGACGCCTCTGTCCTGTGCACTGTAGTATACGGCAGCACACCTGACCTCTGACACCTCTCTTCCTACACAATGATGACAAAATGTCTCCCCACAAGGGCTATCTCCTGGAGGGTCTTCCTTTCTTTTGCTTACTCTCCAATTTCCCAAGCATGGTGTCCTTTTCCCGGGACTGGTTTCTCTTGATCTCCTGTCCGATGTTTGTGACACGAGATTCACTGTTTCCTCTTCTACGGAGCGTTCTAGCTGTACTTACATCAAGACAGATGTGTTTATTCTTCTGGCAGTTCACCGCGCTTTTGATCTTCTTTACCATCACCCTAAGCCAATGCATCAATTCTTCTACAGTCTTCCTGATTATTCTCCAGCTTCAATGTCTGTAGAAGATGATTAGAAAGACCGTGGTTTGGGTCAGGCATCCCTTTGTCCTCAAAGTGTTATCTGTATCCTTCCATACTTGAAAGAGTTCCTGCACAACAAACTTCCCCAGTGCAATTCCTCTTGACTGCTGCTTCCATGAGCATGGTGATTGTGGATGCACGCAAAGTGAAATTCTTGACTGCTTCAGTCTTTTCTCCATTTTTGGTCCAGTTGTGAAGCAGATAAATGTCTTTTTGTTCCTTTTGTGAATTAAGGCAAGACTTGAGTCATCTTCATTCACAAGGTACTGAATGGAGCACCTAGAAGCTCCCTGCTCCAAAAATGGAGGAGAATTAGCCCTGAACTGAGTACCGCTGGGTTCTCCTTTAACAAATCTTAAAAGGAAGACCGGAGGAGATCAAACTGTCTCTGAAGTAACTAAGCTGCAATCAAGAAAAAAATATGTATTTAGAGCAGGAAAAAAAATAGGCAGCACCCAAGAAGTAAAATTTAACGATAAGAAATTGTTACCTTTTTAATTAAAATTTTTATTTTTGAAAGTTTAATTCAAATTAAATTTTTTAACTTTTTAATTATTAAAATCAAATTTGCACTAAACACACACGAAAAAAATACCTTATAGAATCACTTCAGAACTGACACTGATGTTAGGATTAGCAGAGAAGGACAGTGCAAGGATAAATTCAAACAGTATTGCTACCAGACTCCAGTTCACATAGGCATGGGCTTATTCCAAACAGCACATGTGCACATATATGTTGCTATGATCAATGAGTAGCTGAAGACACATTTTCTCAGTAATACACTTGACTTAGTTGTTTTAGGATGCCTTCCCAACAAAATTCAATTAAAATAGTGACTTCCGAAGAGATCTGCTGGGCCAGTTACAGTCAAGGCAGAGAGTTACAGTCAGCTCAGAAGGTTATGGCTACTATTTGGATGAATCTTGTTTGAACTTATGATCTTGTTAGATTTTCTTAAAGACACAAGTTGGTCCTGGGGATTTCTT